TTCACTTCGTTCTCTAGGCGAGCCTTGTCCGCTTGGACGAGGTCCCGACCCCGGGCTGTCGACGCCAATTGCGCGCTCTTCTGGCTGGCGTCCTGGCGAGCCGAATCTCGCTCGACGCAGGCACGATCAAGGTCCAACTGGAGGGACGCCGCTTGCTGACTCTGGGTCTCCAACTGGTCCTTCAGAGACGCGATGAATGCCCAAAGGGAAGCCTCCGTCGCGTCGACAGTCTGGAAACGCTTGGACCACCCCACGACTTCGTTGCGAACAACCGCCAACTCGCCACGCAGCTGACCAATGGTCTCCGCCGCGCGACGAGTCTCGGTGTCCAGCTGGTCCCGGAGGGCGGCCACGTACGCCTCTGCCGCAACACGGGAGTTGCGCTCGACGACCAGGTCGGTCTCGCGCTCCACCAGGTCGCCCTGCACTCGGGCCAGGAGTTTCTCGGCGGCCTCTTTGGCCGAGACAAATTCTTGGATAAACCCAAAAAGATACAGCACCTTTACCTTTCGGAGAGTGGAACCTGGACCGCCGTCACCCAGAACGGATCTTGACGTGACCAGGGTGGATTAGACGGCCGCCCGAGCACTGTCCAGGCTGGCCAACAACAAGGCGCACTCCGAGGCCGACCGAGTCAACGACGCGCACAACGACTCAACGGCTGGGGCGCACTGGCACCAGAAAGAGCAGGAGGGTTGGAAGCCGGAGCGGTGGACGGCCGGGTTGCCGCGGCCGACGACGATCCTGACCGCACCAGAAATGAGTGGGATGCGTCTGATGCTGGAGCGAAGGACCCGGCCGGTGGAACAGGAGCTGGTGGCGTGGACATGGCGAATGCGAAAGTGCAATGAAGACGGCCTGGGACCAGACCCTCCCGCGGCCCTGTCCCTGGTTGAGGAAAATCCCGGCCAACGGTGTTCCCAGGGCTACTTGCTTTGCCCAATCACAAGCGACCTGGGAACAGGAGCCACTCAAGGCGCACCAGGATTGGCCCATCCTATCGACCAGTTACACCGACTGTATGCCCCGTGAACTGACTGGAGCCCGAGACGGAGCTTCGGGCCTAAGTGGGGAAGAATGTCACGGTGCGACTGCGGGGTCCATGACCCTGCCGAGACCGCGAAGCCAGACGAGGCCCTGATCGACCCTCTGACCTCCCTGAAGGCCGCGTTGCCTTTCCCTTTCTGGCTAGACCTCTCAGACCTCATATACCTCCCAGACTCGATGACCAGAACCGTCATCGAGGTGTCGAAGATATACCAAGACGGAGATCCCTCAACCGTCAACCACCGATGCAGTAGAACTTAGAGCACTAGGACTACAGCTACGACCACACCATTAACTAACTCGACTTTACATTTTGCCTCGAACTCCACACCTGGGTTTGAGTCTCCTTGTTTGCCTGCGCCGCGCCTACCCATCAACTTGACGTAAAACCCCGCGACATTTACTCGTACACACAGTGCAAATATCAGGTATACAGTAGTTAGTAGGCTGAGTTAGTAATGGACTATCTTGTAGTACGAGTAGTATGGCTCTAAGTACTCGTATTACACAGCCCGAGAAAAGCGTCCTCAAAGTTGGTCCACTTTCGATATATGCGCATGTCGACATGTCACATCACAAAAACGTGCACATGCGCAATAAGAATATTTATTTTAAATATAATAATAAAAATTCTAAATTCATCCGCAAATTGTAATGCAGTATCCGGAACTGCTCAGTTTAACGGTGCGAAGTTTCTGAATGCAAGCACTACAGAGGTCGCGTTACCTTAGCTGGCTTTTAGATAGATCATCCGATGTTAGACAAAATGTAAAAGTGATCTTTCTAAAGGCCAGCTAACATTGGATCTACTCTTTGCTTGCTTTGCCCCTCTTGGTAAAGCCGAGAGAATCTGGTCCAGTAGTCCGAACCTCTGGACCTTGGATTGTGCGTCTAACCCATACGACCGTCACACACGCACATCCATCCAGCACGGCAATCCACTGAAACTTTGACGTCCCATTCAGAACTCCTTCATGAATTGTCCGTGCTGGATGGTGGGGATCATGGAGCATGGTGCATGCGGACGAGTTGTGGACATTGACAACCAACCATTAAATGACACCATCCAGGCACCTTCCCGTGGAAAGTGTCTGGACATTGTCGTTTACACATGTGAAGGAAAAGCTTGTGTCAGTGACAGGGATGTCCCGCAAAATATACTACTTCGAAGTAGTTGGAGTGGCATATTATTATTTATTCCGTTTTCAGGATATTTTCGGCCGAATATGTGTGTATCGCGGAAGTTCGGCAACAAAATGGTATCCGGACACGCCACTTTGAAACAAACGATCTGGATACGAAGTATTGTTTATCGAAATACTGAACTGTCACTCCACTATATCAAATGATCTCGATA